CTTGATGTCTCATTAATATACACACGTTAGAGGTTGATCCATTAAGATCTGAGCCCAATCGTGAGGACTGAATAGTCGGATATTTTTCCCAATGAACACTCGTCATGGCGCGTCACGTCGTTCCTGGCTCGGCGTCCCTCGCTATTTACTATTTCCACTTTTTTATAGCAGTTTCTTAAATTACGTTCCCTCACTCTTCACCAGGAACAGTTACAACACTTCCTATTATGAAGTGAGACCACTAATCACGTTTCGGCCGTCGGAACCGCCAAATTCCTGGTTCTAAGTCAACTAGGACACCGCGCCATAGGCCTTTACCCAACGAGACTGCCCCTGCATGCCCATGGCGTGCCCTCTCCTACCCAGCACATACGCAGAGCTTCTCTGTTGGTCCTCTTCAACTTTCATATATATTTCAGACCAACAGCAACACATTAATTACACATTTATGTGTTACAGGTTTGGGAAAATTACACCAGAATTTTCCACAAATATATTCTTCCAAATCTCAAAAACTTGCCAAAGACGATCGATTTTACATAAATACATAATCGTTTTTTCCAAAAACTGGCCATATCCCACCGAGGTAGGTGACGTAGAAAAGAAAAATTAAAAATTTTTAAATGTAGTAATGTATACAAAAGGGGTTACTAGCCCCTTACTCCCAGCATTTTAGTCGCCTCTTACGACACGCATGACCTACGGAGGAAGAATTCTGTTTCACTTCCCCATGGAGATAAGAGGAAATAAACAAGAGCTAGTAAGAAAATGGATGAAAATCCAGAGAGGTGTACTCACCTAGTTGTACTCACCTAGTTGAGGTTGCAGGGGTCGAGTCCAAGCTCCTGGCCCCGCCTCTTCACTGATCACTACTAGATCACTCTCCCTGAACCGTGAGCTTTATCATACCTCTGCTTAAAGCTATGTATGGATCCTGCCTCCACTACATCGCCTCCCAAACTATTCTACTTACTGACTACTCTGTGGCTGAAGAAATACTTCCTAACATCCCTGTGATTCATCTGTGTCTTCAACTTCCAACTGTGTCCCCTTGTTACTGTGTCCAATCTCTGGAACATCCTGTCTTTGTCCACCTTGTCAATTCCTCTCAGTATTTTGAATGTCGTTATCATGTCCCCCCTATCTCCCCTGTCCTTCAGTGTCATCAGGTTGATTTCCCTTAACCTCTCCTCGTAGGACATACCTGTTAGCTCTGGGGCTAGTCTTGTTGCAAACCTTTGCACTTTTTCTAGTTTCTTTACGTGCTTGGCTAGGTGTGGGTTCCAAACTAGTGCCGCATACTCCAATATGGGCCTAACGTACACGGTGTACAGGGTCCTGAACGATTCCTTATTAAGATGTCAGAATGCAGTTCTGAGGTTTGCTAGGCGCCCATATGCTGCAGCCGTTATTTGGTTGATGTGCGCTTCAGGAGATGTGCCTGGTGTTATACTCGCCCCAAGATCTTTTTCCTTGAGTGAGGTTTGTAGTCTATGGCCTCCTAGACTGTACTCCGTCTGCGGTCTTCTTTGCCCTTCCCCAATCTTCATGACTTTGCACTTGGTGGGATTGACCTCCAGGAACCAATTGCTGGACCAGGTCTGCAGCCTGTCCAGATCCCTTTGTAGTTCTGCCTGGTCTTCGATCGAGTGAATTCTTCTCATCAACTTCACGTCATCTGCAAACAGGGACACCTCAGAGTCTATTCCTTCCGTCATGTCGTTCACAAATACTAGAAACAGCACTGGTCCTAGGACTGACCCCTGTGGGACCCCGCTGGTCACAGGTGCCCACTCTGACACCTCGCCACGTACCATGACTCGCTGCTGTCTTCCTGACAAATATTCCCTGATCCACTGTAGTGCCTTCCCTGTTATCCCTGCTTGGTCCTCCAGTTTTTGCACCAATCTCTTGTGTGGAACTGTGTCAAACGCCTTTTTGCAGTCCACGAATATGCAATCCACCCACCCCTCCCTCTCTCTTGTCTTACTGCTGTCACCATGTCATAGAACTCCAGTAGGTTTGTGACACAGGATTTCCCATCCCTGAAACCATGTTGGCTGCTATTGATGAGATCATTCCTTTCTAGGTGTTCCACCACACTTCTCCTGATAATCTTCTCCATGATTTTGCATACTATACATGTCAGTGACACTGGTCTGTAGTTTAGTACTTCATGTCTGTCTCCTTTTTTAAAGACTGGGACTACATTTGCAGTCTTCCATGCCTCAGGCAATCTCCCTGTTTCGATAGATATATTAAATGTTGTTGTTAGGGGTACACATAGCGCCTCTGCTCCCTCTCTCAGGACCCATGAGGAGATGTTATCTGGCCCCATTGCCTTTGAGGTATCTAGCTCACTCAGAAGCCTCTTCACTTCTTCCTCGGTTGTGTGCACTGTGTCCAGCACATGATGGTGTGCCCCACCTCTCCGTCTTTCTGGAGCCCCTTCTGTCTCCTCTGTGAACACTTCTTTGAATCTCTTGTTGGGTTCCTCACATACTTCACAGTCATTTCTTGTTGTCTCTCCTCCTTCCTTCCTTAGCCTGATTACCTGGTCCTTGACTGTTGTTTTCATCTTGATGTGGCTGTATAACAGTTTCGGGTCAGATTTGGCTTTCGCTACTATGTCGTTTTCATATTGTCTTTGGGTCTCCCTTCTTATCTGTGCATATTCGTTTCTGGCTCAACGACTGCTCTCCTTATTCTCCTGGGTCCTTTGCCTTCTATATTTCTTCCATTCCCTAGCACACTTGGTTTTGCCTCCCTGCACCTTTGGGTGAACCATGGGCTCATCCTGGCTTTTTCATTATTCCTGTTACCCTTGGGTACAAACCTCTTCTCAGCCTCCTTGCATATTGTTGATACATATTCCATCATCTCATTAACTGGCTTCCCTGCCAGTTCTCTGTCCCATTGAACCCCGTTCAGGAAGTTCCTCATTCCTGTGTAGTCCCCTTTCTTGTAGTTTGGCTTATCCCTCCACTTTTAGCTCTACTGTGTATTCGAAGCTTAAAACCACATGATCGCTGGCCCCAAGGGGTATATCATATGTGATGTCCTCGATATCTGCACTACTCAAGGTGAATACTAAGTCCAGCCTTGCTGGTTCATCCTCTCCTCTCTCTCTTGTAGTGTCCCTTATGTGTTGGTACATGAAGTTTTCCAGTACCACCTCCATCATCTTAGCCCTCCATGTATCTTGGCCCCCATGCGGCTCCAAGTTCTCTCAATTGATCTCCTTGTGGTTAAAGTCACCCATGATCAGGAGCTTTGCCCTGCATGCATGAGCTCTTCTGGCCACTGCAGCCAGTGTGTCAACCATCGCTCTATTGCTCTCGTCGTACTCTTGCCTTGGCCTCCTGCTGTTCTGTGGTGGGTTATACATCACTGCTATTACCACCTTGGGACCTCCAGATTGAAGCATTCCCGTTATGTAATCACTTTCTTTTCTGCTGTCTCCTCTCTCCAGCTCATCAAAATTCCATCGATTTTTGATCAGCAATGCCACTCCTCCACCCCCCCTGTTCCCTCTGTCTTTCCTCAGGATCTGGTATCCCGTTGGAAAGATGGCATCTGTTATCATACCTGTAAGCTTGGTTTCTGTGAGCGCTATGATGTCCGGTGATGCCTCTTTGACTCTTTCGTGCCACTCCTCCCACTTATTTGTTATTCCATCAGCGTTTGTGTACCATACCATTAGTTTCCTTTCCAACACTGTGGCTTGGGGGCCCTGTGAGGGTGGGAGACCTGATAGCATACTGTGGGATTCTATAGCTCAGTGTTGGGTGGAAGCTGGGGTATGGATTGTAGCGTGTGTTGGGGTGGTGTGACAGGTTGTGGGGTTATGGGAATAGTTGTGAGTGTGCTTGCCCTTGCTGCTCTGTTCTGCTCTGACTGACCTCTGCTGGTTCCATCCTTGTCTTCTTTCCTAGCTACTTTCGCTTTTTTGTCCTCTCCCTCAGCTGCTGTCGTTCTGTTTGTGTTCTGTCTCTGTCTAGGAACACCCTCTTGTACTCTTCCGATATTTCAACCGTGATTTCTCTTGGAGGATCCTGTTCTGCACTGTTTCCGTCCCGAGAATCAGCTTGATCGGTCTGTTTCTCCTCTTCGAGTACCCCCTATTCTCTGAAAATTTACAATCTCGTCCATCTCTTCACCTATTTCCGTGATGATTTTCTCAATCTCCTTTCTTTCTTCCTGCCGCCTTTCAGTGTGTGTCCTTTCCTCTCTCTCCTGAAACCCATGGATAAACACTGATTTTGCCCTTTCCTCCTCCCATTGCCTCACCCTCTGTGACTCTGGATCCTGCCTGTATGTGGTCATTTTCCCCCTTGATTTTTCCAGTGGCTCTTGATAGCATGGTTGTGTCTCAGCACTCGCCCTATCACCCTCTCCATCTGCACCCAGCTGTTCTACCCTTTCGCACCTTGGCCCTTATTGGAAGGCTGATATGACCTTAGCATAATTCATATCTCCTTCCTTCCTGTTCGGCCTCTCAGCTTCATATGCTGTGTCTTCTCTGGTCACTGCCCCTGTAACTCGCTTCAGCCTATTTATCTCATCTTCTAGGACCCTTATCCTGGCTACTGCAGTTTCGACTTGTACATGTATGTGTTGTGTGATCAAAGTATAAGTAGCAAGACGTATCAGAAACCTTACATGTTTATGAGACAGAAGAGACACCAGCAATCCTACCATCATGTAAAACAATTACAAGTTTCCATTTCACACTCACTTAGGAGGACGGTAGTACCTTCCTGGGTGGTTGCTGTCTACCAACCTACTGCCACAGGACGGTAGTACCTCCCTGGGTGGTTGCTGTCTACCAACCTACTACCACAGGACGGTAGTACCTCCCTGGGTGGTTGCTGTCTACCAACGTACTACCACAGGACGGTAGTACCTCCCTGGGTGGTTGCTAGACAAATATAGTATAATCTTTGCAGTTTATATAAACCATACTACTGAAATAATCGATTTTCTATTTTGCTCAACAGGAAGTGAAGAAGACAGTGCCAAACTTCTACAGCGGCAAAGAAGGAATATTGTTTATATACCGAGTCCTGTAAGAAACTAGCTCCCTCATCCCTGCTGCCAGACCTGCAAGTCATAGATTCAGCCAACTGTACTCCTCACTTTACAGTTACTATATTCTACTGAAAAAAGAACCATATTTAAGAGATTTGAATATAGAAATGAAAAACAAGCAACTGATGATGATACCTCCCAAAATTAACCTACTTTCTAATTGTTTTCTCAACTCTAGAACCGGAAACTGAGTAAAAGATCCTCTTGAAATTCATGCCAGGAAACACATAAATACAATACAGTCCAAATGTATCATTAATTTACAACACAAAAGGACTTAACACATAAAATTCAAATGACACCAAAGGCCCTAAAACATAAACCAAAGCTACAGTCTACTAGTTACATATATCTTACAGCACTTGGACATGATGCACATAACAACAGTATGTACCATCTTTTACATAAAAACAGGTCCACATCACTCAAGAATAAAATTTTAAACATACAAAGGCAACTTTCCAAATTCATTTATATATAAGACATACAGAGTTTCAGTTAATAAAAAGAATATTATAGACCAAGAATTGCAAATTATAATTACCCCCTGGAGTATCCAACCTTACAGGGGAAAAAAAAGAAAATTTTTTCACACCCTACCAATAAAACCAAAGTCTGTCATTCGACAGAAACAGATCACACAGGAGCTAAAAAATACCTGATACTGTACATAAGGCCCATAATACATATACAGAGCGGTACTACTACTAACATTCAAAAACCATCCTGGCCCCTGGCACATCAGAAAGCCTCCCACAGCCCCTGACCCCGTATCAACTATATTATACTCAAGTCCACTCTCACAAAACTACACCTTCAGTCTTAAGTCAAAACCCCAGTCATTAAAATCCTATGTCCATTGTCCACCCCCCACCATAACCCCCCTCATGCTTAAAGACTGCACACCCACATACGCCACTACCACTTACTGTCTTACCACATTCGAACCTCTACTAACTCGAAAACATAGTGACAGTCCCAGGGAACTCAACCCATCCCAGTGCTGCCCTGCTCCCAACACACCTATCGTCAGATTGCGATAACCCAAAGAAAAATTATTTACCCACTTCCTCCCATATAGAAGCTTATTCCTACAAACCATGTGGTACACACGTGTTGCAAGTGCCCGCACCCTACAACCACCCCCCACCTCCCTCATACCCCCATGAAACATACAAAAAATCTGCCACCACATACATCACAGCCCGTCAGACATCCTTGGTTACCCCTCCCACATCAAAATGCAAAGTCCTCAAAGTCGAAATGTTACCCCCCACCACTACACAAAAGACCCTCGCTAACCATAACGTTACAGCCCACAAGGTTCCACAAAAATATACAGCATGGAAGGCTGTCTCCTCCTCCCCACATAGTGGACAATTCCCCACACCCACATAACCTATCCTAAAAAGCACAGATCTCGAATGCTAAAATTCCCAACATGAACCTATACACCAGCTCCCAAACCTGCAGCTGTAATCTGAGCTTTCTAAAGTCTCCCAAAATTCCCCTCCAATCATACATCGGGTAAGTTTCTACTCCCTGTATCACCTGCCCCTGCCTACCTGTTCTCTCAAACCTGCTTACCCTTACCTTCCTTGCATCCCATGTTGCCAACAAATTGCACACTATATCTTCACACACCAATAACTCCTTCCCCGTCCACCATTTCCTCACATCCTCCATGACTGCTCCCACTCTTATACCCCTCTCCCCGACCGCCCTCAGGTAACTCTGCTTCACATAAATTGCCTTCACATGTGTCCCCAAAGGTATGAGACCCAGCCCACCCTGCTGCATGCTCCATGACCACCTCCTTCCGTAGCCATGGCCTCCCATAACTCCCATAACACCCTCTGTAGTTCCTCAAGATTGCTTGACCTCTGGGGATATACTTCTGCTACCCCACATACCTTGCTATACACAAGAGAGTTTACCACCATCACCCTCTGCTGCAACGTTGTATCCCCGGCCCTCCACCCTCGCATCCTACCCAATGCCCTACTCACAACCTCTCCAGAATTTACCTTCTGCGCTTTCCATGTACACAACCCCACAGATCTTAATTCTATCCACAACGTTCCACCCTTGCGCTTCCAACGTACCTACTTCCAATAACTTAGATTTTACCCCATTAACCCTCATCCCAGTAGCCGCTCCAAAGACCTCAATTATATGGCCCACATTCCCCAAACCAGTCTCCTCTCCCACTAAAACTGTGGTGTCATCCACATACCCCACAATCCCAGCCCTGCTAGGACCCTCCCCACCCAGTTCCCTCACCCCTTCCTCTATAAGCCTATAAAAGGGGTCTTGCAAGCATGCAAAGAGGATTTCAGACAAGGGACAACCCTGTCTCAAACCTCTCCCTAACTGCACCAGCAGCCCCAACTTCCTATTTACCTATACTCTGACCCTTGCAGGCGTATACAAAGTATTCACCCACCGCACTATCTCATCCCCAAATCCCTGTGCCTGTAAAATTATCCTCAGCATTCTTCTATCAATGCAGTCATATGCCTGCTTCCAATCGATCCCCAGGACGCCCCCCCCCCCTCCTCTGTCTTCCCTCCAAAAAGTCTCTAATCCTCCCGTGCCCCTCTCGCATACATTGACCTGGTACCCCATACTGTCCTCTATGTATAATTAAGTCAATCACCTTTTTCATGCGATTGCCTAATATCTTTGCAAATAATTTATAATCAGAACACATGAGGGAGATCGCCCTATAGGCCTCCAGGGTCTTCCCCCCACCTTTATGAACCAAGACAACTACCCCATGCCCTGTGTCTTCCCCATCACACCCCCTTCCTTACCTTTATGAACCAAGACAACTACCCCATGCCCTGTGTCTTCCCCATCACACCCCCTTCCTTCATACAGTTTAGCAAAGAGACCAGACATTCTTTTATACAATCCCAATTTGCTATATAGAAGTCATTAGGGATCCCATCAATCCCTGGCACCTTTCCCCAACTCGTGCTCATTACCGCCTCCCCCACTTCCTGTTCATTAATTCTGCCCCCTAGCTCTGCCTGCTCCCCACTCCTAAAACACCCAATATTCCACACATTTCACACACACACACAGGTGTGTGTATGTGTCACTCACACCTCACTCTCCACCTATATATACTGTCTTTCAACTTCTGTATGTTAGAAGTGATCAAGGTCTCAGGACCGAAAAGTTTTCTAATAAATATGTCCTAGTGTTTGCTACATGTTTTTCTAGACCAACTTGTCTGTATTTATTACCAAGGTTTATACCACATACAACATTACTCCCGCCACATTATGATGTCGCAGGGATGATCGACGACTTGTCAATGACAACAGAAATTCTTCCCAAATATTATTTATTACAAAAGAATCTAATTTTATAACCTTAAACCAATATTTATATTAAAATCAAAGTTAAGATTTATGAAACTCGATTTAGTTATATTTCTCTATATATAACATTAGACTCTTGTCCAGTTTTAATGATTTATTTATTTTATTGCAGTCTTTGTTCAAGGTTTTCCCCAGCTTGATCTTAATAAATTTCATTACATTTTTTCAGAGAATCTTGTAGACGGAGGTATCAGCATTTTTGGGGAGAAATTTAATCAAAAGATTTTTTTACTGTTTCAAGATTTTTAAAATATATCTCTAACATTTGTAAAGAATTTATCACTTAAGTATATTGGATATTGTAGATCTTTAGCTATTTCATAAATTTTCCATAATTCTTCATGTATGAAGTGTGGGCAGCAGACACATGAAGTTCTCACAAACATGGATGACAACAACACAAACATGGATGACAACAACACAAACATGGATGACAACAACACAACATGGATGACAACAACACAAACATGGATGACAACAATCACAAACATGGATGACAACAACATAACATGGATGACAACAACACAAACATGGATGACAACAAACTAACATGGATGACAACAACACAAACATGGTTGACAACAACACAAACATGGATGACAACAACACAAACATGGATGACAACAACACAAACATGGATGACAACAACACAAACATGGATAACAACAACACAAACATGGATTGACAACAACACAAACATTGGATGAGCAACAACACAAACATGATGACAACAATCACAAACATGGATGACAACAAACACAAACATGGATGACAACAACACAAACATGATGACAACAACACAAACATGATGACAACAACACAAACATGGATGACAACAACACAAACATGGATGACAACAACACAAACATGTGACAACAACACAAACATGGATGACAACAACACAAACATGGATGACAACAACACAAACATGGATGACAACAACACAAACATGGATGACAACAACAGTGTAGGAACAATTATTTGTTGATTTTCTGTATAATTTGAATTTATCATCTTTTATAAAAGACAACGAGTTATTTTGTTCAAACTCAACAGTAAAATTTGTGGAATAAGCTAGAATATTTAGTTCAACAAGGAAATTGCTTCTATCTTTATTCTTAGACATAAGCTAGAATATTTAGTTCAACAAGGAAATTGCTTCTATCTCTATTCTTAGACATTAGACACAAAACTTAATCAACAGATCTGTAACATTTTGCTCTAGTAGGAAAGGTTTCATTAAGCAGTCTTGCTTCATAATATTCCATGTACAAACTGGTAAAGACAGGTGAGAGAGGATTTCCCATTGTCATACCAAACTTCTGAGTGTAGAACTCGTTATTAAACGCGAACATTGCATCATCAATACAAAGTTTAACACGTTCAGTGATGCAGGTACTGGCAACGGTAAATCATAATTACCGTGTTCTTCAGATAAGAAACTTAATAAATCATCAACTGGAACTTTCGTAATCAAGGAAGTAACATCAAATTTAACCAAACTGTAATCAATTAAACTGGTAAAACTGGTTAATATACCAACTAAATCAATATTATTTTTAACATTAAAGTTGCAAATTTAGTCAATAATTGGTCGTAACATATTTACCCATTTGAAAAGTTTATAGGAAACTGATACTAAGGATCTAATAATGGGTCTGCCTGGATGACCTGTTTTGTGTGTTTTTATTAATCTATTAATATATGGTAAAGATGGATTAATGGTCATGAATATTTTAATTAGTTCATCTTTGCCTTTCAGTAGTTGTTTTATTGTTTTGGTAAAGTTACTATTAACTGAAGCTAAGGGATTCTTTCTAAGTTTGTAATATATATCTGTATCATCTAAGAGTTTATTTATTTTACCTTAGTAATCAATTTTCTTTGAATATTAATATGCAGATATTTTGCTTGCTTTAGTAATATACATATTTTTTATTAATAATAAAATTTTCAACAGACTTAAAAATTCTTTGAGGACAAATGGGAATATTTTGTTTTATCATAGATGCAAAAACTATCCCCTTACTTATATTTATTTCATTATTGGATAAATAAGTAAATTTTTCCCAGTAACCAAAAGCTTTGTCAGTTTTCACATTATTGACATTAAGTTATAAACTTAGACTGAACTT